GAGAGAGAGAGAGAGAGAGAGAGAGAGAGAGAGGCACACATGCACACACTCACATGCATGCACATACACAGATGCACATACACACACACACACACACACACACACACACACACACACACGTTTCTCTTAAATCAGTAGTAGTGACGGGACTATCACTACAGAGAGAATAGGGAAACCACTTTCCCCAACTAAAGTATATAAAGCATGTTTGGGGTCATCTTTTTAATAAGGTTTAATAAGATGCAAATCTATATATGAAAGTCTGGTTTGGTTTTGTTACTGCTTTGTCCTTGAAAAATAACCATGCTTTTATTTAATTTAACATCTAGTTTTGACCAAAAGTAATTACTAAAAATAAAATGAACAAATTCAATTCCATCACTAATGTTTAGTTTGTTATCAGTGTTCTGGAAATGACAAGTCATTTTCTTATACTGTATCATTTCAGAAGAGTTCACAGAATGATCCAACATTATAGACAAACCTTTAAATCTGTCCACAGATGTGTCCTGCCTGAGGCTACTCACTGATAGTGATAAAGAAAATGCACAAAAACAACAGCAAAAAAAAAAATCCTTTGTCAATAATTAGAAAGTAAATGTTCAGTTTGTGTCAGGAAGCAGACTCAAAGAGAAAGCCTGTGCTGTAGTGATTAATTCCATTAATGGCCCAGCAAGAAGAGCTACAGCTATGACCTCCTCTGCACACCAGAGCTCTAGGCTGGCAGCCAGGGGCTTCTTAGGATGTGCTTGGAATGGCTCCCATCTCCACAGCCTAAGTGAGGGCAGGGAGTTTAAAGGCCTTCCACACCACAGAGAGGAATAAGCTGAATTACAAAAGAGTGTTGGGGATACTACAGGGCACATATGGAGATCAGAAGAAGACTTTCAGGAGTTGTCGGTTTCTTCCTTCCACGGTGTGATCTAGGGACCCAACTCAGCACCAGGCCTGTACAGCAAGTGTGTTCAGTGCCTTTACATAACGAGCCATCTCAGCACTCCCGTAATTACTCTCAGTATCCTAAACACGCTCTGTGTTGGTCTAAATCCAGGTCTTGCTCAAATCCTAATCTGTTGCATGTTCCCTATTTAATAAGTATTTCTACTGATACTTTCCATAGAAAAGACACTTTCTCCATGAAGCTTTCCTCAATCTTCCGCACTAGAAAAGAGTGCTTCCTACTCAGAAGTTCATCATGTTCACTTTTATCTTCCATGGCTCTTGTTATCTGCATATATCATATTTACAGATGCATACATAAATGGAGTACATTTTAATCATGTGAAATTCAGCATTCATGTCTCATCTCTATCCCATAACCGTGTTTCAGAATGCCTCCCAGGAGTTAGACATTTAAATAAGATCTGTCTTTCAAATACTGGGCATATAAGCAATAAATTTTCATATATTTCCAAATGCATTCTTTGCTTTGTGACTTACCAATGAAGTGTAATAAATGCAAATATTCAATGAATAAACCATCTGTCTTTCAAATGATTTCCTTGTATCATTATCAAAACAGTATAGTATAGGCCAAAATACAACTTTACTAAAATTTAAAAAAGTTAAACACACACACACACACACACACACACACACACACACACACCAATTACAATATGATTCTGTCCATCATTTTTAAGAACATTTATAAATGTTCTTATTAATTATAATTTTATAAGTAAAAAGTGGCTCATTTAAATGGTTATAGAACACAATATTCCCTATTATATATTATTTTCTCTCCCAAATAAAGCTTATACAAGTAGGCCAGCATGAAAGATGCAAATAGATCCATATCTATCACCCTGTACAAAACTCAAATCCAAATGGATCAAAGTCCTGAATATAAACACCAGAAACACTGACCCTGACAGACCAGAAAGTGGGAACCAGCCTTGGACTCATTGACATAGGAGAAGACTTTCTAACACAACATCATTAGCACAGGCAAAGATAACAATTAATTAATGGAACCTCATAAAACTGAAAAGCTTCTGTATGGAAAAGGACATCATTAAAGGGTAATATGACAGCCTACAGAATTGAAAAAGATTTTATTTTTATTTATTATATATCCAATAGAGGGCTAGTATCCAAAATATATAAGTAATTCAAAACACTAAGTATCAAGAAAACAAATAACATGATTTAAAAACTTTGTACAGATCTAAACAGAGGATTCTCAGAAGAGGAAACTCAAATGGCTAAGAAATATTAAAAATGTTCACTATTCTTCCACCAGTGAAATGCAAATCAAAACTACTTTGAGATTTAGTCTTAAACCTGTCAAATGGCTAAGACCAGTAAAACAAGTGACAGCTCATGCTGGAGAGGATGTGGAGTAATGGGAACATACAACCAATGCTGTTGGAACTACAAACTTGTATAGAAATCAGTATGCCAGTTTCTCAGAAAGATGGGAATCCATCTACCTCATGACCCAGCTATACCACTCTTGGCCACATACTCAAAGGACACTTCATCCTACCACAGAGACACTTGTTCAACCATGTTAACAGCTGCTCCATTCATAATAGCCAGAAATTGGAAACAACCTAAATGACCCTCAACAGTGGAATGGTTAAAGAAAATGTGGTATATTTACACAGTGGAGTATTGCTCAGCCATTAAAACACTGACATCATGAAATTTGCAAGTAAATGGATAGAACTAGAAAAAAGTCATCCCAAGTGAGGAAACCCAGACCGAAAAAGATAAACATTTTTTCACGTTTTAAAAATTCACTGAACTTTCTAGTTTTTTTCACTGCACTGTGATATTTGGTCCCTTCCTTCTAGAACATACCTAATATCAACCTATTAAAATACTACTTTATTCCAGGCCTTTATGCGCTAAGCTATTATGCAGTGACTACCTGAGAATTGTTCTATCAACACTAATTGCAGACAACCTGTAGTCATTGGCCTCACTCCTGGTCCCTTTTGATTTGATGGTTAAGCAGGTTATCTAGGTAACTGACATCAACACATCTTCTGAAAACCCACATATCAACAATGAGTCCACTTTATTAACTTCATTTTGTGGACTAATCCATGTTGTTATCAGTGACTCTCAGCTAATGTAGTGGGTAAACCCTCATCGGGTAGAGAAGCATCATCAATGGGGATGGCATGTACAAATGGAAAACTATTCCAGTTACTATTAAAAATATATTTAAAATTTGAAAATAATTATCCACTTTCTTAAATGCAAATATGACCTCAGTTAACAGTATCAAATGCAAGCTGTGTGGGGCTGAGCATGCCTGTGATCCCGAAATTTGGAAGGCTGTGAAAGGAAGATCACAAGTTAGAAGCAATCTGAGCTACATAAAGAATTCTAAGTCAGCTTGGGCTGCATAGCAAACCTTGTCTCAAAAAGAAAAAGAAAAAAACTCCTAAAACAAACAAACTGCACAACAATACCAAAATTGGTAGGTGGGAGCATCAATTTTAAAATGAAAACAATATCAGTTTGTGCTAACCAACAAATAACATAGATGTTAAACACAGAGAATCTAGGAGTTCACTTCCTTTCCTTCAGTTCATATTTGTTTCATTATGCCACATTTTCAGAGACTGTGGCACTATGTTAGCACTTTCATTCAAGAGAATATTTTACAAAAATAAATTGACAGGGAAAAGAGAGGGACAGAGGGCAGAGAGAGAGGGAGAGAGAGAGGGAGAGACAAGCAGTCCCTGTTCTAAGTGCGAAATCTGGCACCATGTGTGGACGGTGCCTGTGCCCACCGGTCTTGGACTGTACTAAGTGCACTCACCTCAGTCAAGTGAGGGTTGGGGTTAAAACCACAGAGGCTACAGACGGTGGTTTGACACTCAGTGCATGTGTTAAAATTGGCCTTGTCTGGAATATGCAACAGAAGTTCAGTGCTGTTACAAAGGGGGCAGATGGTTTTAGAGAGACCTTGTCCTGGACTCTCTGCTGCAGAACTTGGTGGTGGCTGCACAGGCCTTCCAGTTACTGTTTGGCTTGTCGCTTTCATGGGCTGTTGAGCTGGGGGTTTCGCTGGAGCAGGCTGTTGAGGCTGGGGCTTTGCTTGACTGGGCTGTTGAGGCTGGGGTTTTGCTGGAGCGGGCTGCTGAGGCTGGGGCTTTGCTGGAGTGGACTGCTGAGGTTGGGGCTTTGCTGGAGTGGGCTGTTGAGGGTGGGGCTTTGCTGGGGTAGGCTGTTGATGTGGAGGCTTTGTGGGAGCTGGTTGCTGAGGCTGAGGCTTTGCTGGAGTGGGCTGCTGAGGTGAAGGCTTTGCTGGGCCTGGCTGTTGAGCTGGTATCTTTCCAGGTCCAGATTGCTGAGCTGGAGTCTTTGTAGGCCCAGGTACCTTAGCCGGAGGCTGTGGGCCAGGCTGTTGAGCTGGGAGTTTCGCTGTCCCTTGCTGCTGGGCTGCAGACTTTACTGGCCCTGGTGGAATCTTTCCAAGACCAGGAGTCTGAGTGAGAGACTTTGGCCCAGGCTGCTGAGATGAAGTCTTCTCGACTCCAGCCTGCTGTGCTGGAGGCTTGGATGCCACTGGAGGTTGGGCTGGGGGCTTCCCTGTCCCTGCTGGTTGAGCTGGGGACTTTGCTGGCCCTGGCTGCTGGACTGTTGCTTTTGCAGGTCCAGACTGTTGGGCTCCAGATTTCCCAGGACTTGCTTGCTGAGCTGGTGTTTTGGCTGGACTCTGCTGGGAAGGCTTTCCTGTGTCTGAAGGTTTAGTCTGAGGCCTGGCTGCATCTCTTTGAATAGGCACCTTTGCCTGGTCTGTTGGTGGAGGCTGGGAAGATGCCTGGGAAGGCTTTCCTGTGCTGGGGGGTTGTGTTTTTATTTTTTCTGTTTGTTGGGAGGATGCTGACTTGGGAGGGCTGTCCTGTTGTATCACTTCCTTCGCTGGCCCCTGCTGTTTAGGAACCGATTTGGGTGACGGCTGCTGTAAAGGAGGTTTTGTGACTCCTTCTGATTTTCCTTGGTCCTTCTGAGCAACTTTTTGTTTCCGTGTAGTTTCGTCCTGGGATGCTTCAGAGTCTGATATCAAATCAAAAGGGTTGAATTTATTTACCACAGAGGAGACAGCACTTAGAGGGTTAACATCTGAGAGGAAACCAGGCATCATACTAGACTTGTATTCTTCCTTAAAATCAGTTCTAGACTTGGATTCTTTCAAGCTAATAGTGGATGGACTCCTTCCAGGCAATTTCTGCTCCGACCTGAACGTATCTGTAGTTCTACTTTTACTGAGTCCAGGCTGAGTGGGACGCCCAGGGTCCGGTGGCTTTCCTGGTTGCTTGGGAGGCTGACTGCTATCCAACTCTTGTTTCCTAGAAAATAAAAATAGTAGAAGTTACTTCAAATCAAATCAATATTTAAAAGTTATTGTTTTCTTGTAACTCAAACATATATAGACGCAATTTGTGTTGGAGCCTATATTGATCATAAAATTTGCCCTGTCTGTTATTTTTGAATAGGTAGAATTTTTCAACAAGGTAGTGTAGCAAAAGCAGCTTGTTGGTAATGAAAAATTATGTGGTTAAACAATATAAACTTACAAAAATATACTTACTAGAATATAACATATAGGTTCAAAAAATAAAACTGCAGTAAATCAATGTAATACATATGTAACTATCTCTATTTCCTTTTTGATCAAAAATTATGGTCAAGAAAAAAACTAAGAGAATTAAGAAGTAAAAGTCCTCATTTTAAAGTATAACAGCTTGCTAGTTTTGTTTTTACTTAATTTTGAAAATTCATATTAGTTACAGAAGTCACACTGTGACATTAGGTGAGTTGGTGGTGATGGAGGTAAACGACACAGTTTAGGCATGCTGAGAAATCCAATGCTTCACTCAGTTTTGCTCTGTTCTACTAGAATCGTAACACTCATCAAACATTCTCCTTATTAAACTTTATAAATTACTAAACTTGTTTAAGAAACAAATTTTCTTGTGCAAGACCAATATCACTTTGTCTTTTCTAATAGTTGATTATTAATTGTGAAGTTTTCATACAATACCATAGTTGAGGCTCAAAGTATTGTGAGATATAGCCTGATAAACAGCATGAAGCTAGCTATGATCCCATTTTTTAAAAGTGCTATTACTTTCCTCAGTGGAAGAAAATATGTACCAGCTTCATTCAGTGTTTGTTACATTATTTATTTATCTTATCTATTATCACTGACATTCCTAGTGTGTGACAAGTAGCTTCACAAGACAATTATTTCTTTTAAAACATTCTGTAAATATGATACTTTAAGTGATTTGAGCTGAATAATTAAAATAGATCTTTCGTTCATAGATGTATATATATTAGCTAAAAGTCATTTAAGGTATGTTAAATTTTGAAGGGCAACTAATTGCATCCCACACCATAACTGTGGAGGAAACCAGGTAAGTAGTTTTGTTTTATTTATGTCATTTTACATTGGAAAATATATATTTCTCTTTGAAAGAACAAGGAAAAAGAATTAATGATTTTGGAGCACCTGAAATGTAAGATGGTCACAATAGAGTTGAACATCTTTTATTTAGTTTGCCAAATTGGCTAGTTAGGGGCACAGCTACATATTTTCAACTTTGTGCTATTTAATAATTTTCTTCAGAACTTCCCTAATGCTTACAGCATAAATCAGAATCTAAGAGAGTGTTAGAAGATATGGAAAAGTGTTACTTGTAGCAAATATTGTCAGAAAGACAGTATTTTTTCCACTGGCACATACGCACAAAATGATGTAATGAAATGAGTAAATATGGTAGAGTAGTTCACTGGTCCAGTATCTTCCTGGTGTGTGCAAGGTGCTGCAATTGACGCCAGCACTGTGCAATTTTAATGCTAACTATAATAGAAGAGTTTAGGTAGGTTCCTCTAGGAAAGGGTTTTTTACGTAAACATTTTACTATGTTTCCAACGCTTTCATTTTAAAAGAGACCGCACACTATTTCCTGAGTTATTTCCCAAAGCTCTCTGATATATTTTTTTAAATCATTGCTAAATATTTACATTTGGACATAATAAGGATGTCTTCACAGGGCACCTTGTCTGTCCCCCTACCCCCCTTCAGAAGGCAGAAGAGCCACTGTACATAACTGAAAATAGGTTATTTCCAAAGGTACACTGTATAGATTTTGACATTATTCGGGAAATGTTTCTGCATTCAATTAATGTAATGCAAAACTCCCTTGAAAAAACTTCATTCTAGTTTGTGCCTATCTTGTAAGTAATTATTTGGGAATTTCACTAAACTGCACTTTTGTATGTGGTTCTTGAAAGTTATCTTTAAACAAAGGCCAAAGAAATCTATTCCTGATTTTATTAAATTGTCATTTTCTGAAAATACTATTAAACTTATCTTAATCTGTGTCTTGTGATACTGTTTCTTCACTTAACCTAATGTAGGTGTAATAGCAACTAAAAAAAAAAGAACTTCACAAATACCAAACACTTGTGGTAACATAAAACACCAAAATTAAAACAAGCTGCGTGTGCCACACATTGTAATACATTATAATTGCATAAACATCCCACAAATATTACGTTGTGCTGTCAGAAAAGACCTACATAGCCCCAAAGACTGTCCCCAAATTCTGACTTTGTTTTAATTGTTATCAGTATGTGAATTCAAGTAAAAAACGAAAACCAGAAAGAAAATCACAAAGATAGCAACTTAACGCCAAGCAAAAATGTAAAGCTGCCTGAGTAAATGTGATCTTGTGAACTGTGTTTGCCATAACAACCATTCTGCTAAAAGAAAGATAAGCTAAATGCAATCTGTGGCTTATACACTGAACTGTGAGCTGGAAGAGCACATTTCACTTATCTTTTCATTGCTAGAATCAGACCTGGCGACTAGGAGAAAAGCATTAATGTTTGATGAATCAATGAATAAATGAATGGTTCACAACGTAAAAACTGATGAATGAACATAACGGGTTTTTACTTCACTCTAGATTAAAGTTTCTTGAATTCATTTCACTTCAAATCTTCTAAAGGTCTTCTAAGATTTTAAATGGATACTTCCCATGTTCACTTAAGAGCCTGGACTTGACCTATTGTTCTATATTAAAAGAAAGACAAACAAAAAAAGTGGAGCAGATGGTCACTCAGTGGGGGAGGCTGGAGCACTAAAGGAAATAATCAACTCGAAATTCTTATCTTCTATCACGAAGTTTTGCACTAAGCCATCTCATATCACACGTTCATGAATAAAATGAATAGTAGTAATAAAATTGTCTTTCACTAGGTCTACAATCAATCAACATGAAAATAAGAATTTTGATTGCAACCCTATTCTGATTCTAGCTTGAGTTATTTGTGTTTAATTCCACATCCTTTTTCATTTTACTATTGCTCTTCTCAGATGAGAACTTTCCTTTCATAAGTTAGTAGAGAACTGTATCAGAGAAAATGATATTTCAGGCATATGCAAATATAAAAATGTGAAGCAGCTGGAATGATGAAATGTTTTTAAATGTAACACAACAGTCAATGACACTTAATTTGATGGTGCTGAGTCACATGAAATATTCCATATCACAAATAAAAATGCCTAAGAAATATCTATTCACTTTCATACTAGTAGGAAATGGGAATTAAAAGGCTAAGAGACTAATTCAAAGTCATATGACTAGGTAAGGAAGTCGGGCCTCCAGCCTCCTAATGTGGTGCCTGTGGGAGCACTCTCACTTGCCCATATGTACAGGAATATAAATTTGTACATTAGTATTTCTAACAATGAGGAATACCAAACGCAGCTTGTGTGTGGCTATAATTGAGACTTTCTATTGCTAGCGTTGAGATTACCATGCTTTATATTTGTCACACTCTTCAATATTAAAAATCCAGCAAAAACATCCCTGTGAACTTTTGAGTCATCCTCAAAATGACTTCCTGACACAGGTAAGACAGATCTTGTTATCTTCTTTAGAGGCAAGGAACCTAAGACACACATGTGTTGAAAAATGCATATTAATTTACTATGAGTCACAGAAAAATCAATACAATAACTTGAGTCTTGGGGCTAAAAATCCTTACTTCTCGAAAGTAAGGTAAGAGAAATAAATTCTGCCATGTCTAGTGCATATCTCTTAAATTCTAAAAATCTGAAGTAATTTGGACCGTTATAAAAGCACATATTTAAGGAATGTGATCCTGAAAGTCTAAATGACAAGGTCAAGTGAATCTCTCAATATCACACATATGTATATTTTTTCAAAAGTACCCTTTAAAGAAATACTTTAACAAAATGTAAATGTGTTGCAAAAATCAAAAAATTATGTGTGCGTATCTTTTACAAACCTTTACCAATTGCAATTGAGAGCAGAAATTGCCTAATGATAATCCTAAAGTGTCCAGTTGCTAATGAGAAACTCTGAAAGTATACTGCAATACACACACACAACATAAAGTAACAGTTATATTGGCAGATCTTTTCTTCAGCCATCTGTTGTACAGAAGCAAAGGTGGAAATCCAAACACCAATGATCTCAGCTGTATTTGCAACCATGCCAGACCTGTTGCATGTGCCCCTCTGGAAAAATTACAGATCTGACTAAGAAAAGCACTGCAGCTCATTATTATCCTAAAACGACACGCTAAATGCACGACTGGATTGTTTTTTCTTTTCAAAGTCGGGATTTTATCAATCAGAGAAAACAAATCCTCTTGTAAATAATTAAAAGAAAAAGGCCAAACCTTTACTAGTTTTAAAACAAAAAAAAATAAATTTTGTTGCTAATTTCCATGCTACTGTGGTTTCTTTCAAATTAAATAGGGATTTTCACCTGACAAATTTCCAACATTTCAGAATTACATGAAAACAAGATCACTACCCTTAAGAAATTTAAACTGCTCCTATGATAGGTTTATTATGCTATTTGGCAAAAGTACCCACTTGGATTTGTACGCTAGCAGCTAAGATGAAATGTTTTTTTAAGTTTATGAGGTAGATCATTTTATAACTATATATTCAGCTCTTTCATACTTTCAGTATCTCAAGTCAAGATTGTGTAAGTCCCGTCAGTTATTACAAAGGATATTTCAGGACCATGGATAGAAATTTTTCGGCTGAAGGGTGTTAAAGGGTTTGTTTACAATAATAAAGGCGGAGAAAGCATGATTATACCCTCTTGGTACTCTAATTAGAAAACAACTAATTCATTAGAAAAAGGGAAAATGTAAAGCTGGAGAGGAAATGGATGTTAATGTTACAGATTAGCTTTTATAATTGCCTGTGCAAATTGTCATTTACTTATTTTGTTTTTAAATGTGTATTGAAACCTAATCTCAAGGTAATGCAAATTCATATGTTCTATAAACTAAAAGTCATTTTTGCATAAAAAGAGCAACGGTTTAAAAACTAGCATATGCTAATTCAGAAATACATGTACAGCACCTGCTCCGCTGTGACCAAACCATCTGTTTAATGTCACAAAATATCTTAGGGCCTCTCACTGGATAGAAGAGGTATATTTATTCTATGCCTTTTACCTAGGCAGCTCCTGTTCTCTGGGGAAAGGTTGGGAAGGGAGGACCAGTCACCTCCAGAGGGTTAAGGGTATTGTTACAGGAATATTTACACACCGTTCTCAGAGAAAAAGACCTCAGAACACTAAGGAGGTTTAAGCGTACAGGTAAACACGTAACCCAGCTCTACCCATTTTTCAACACGTCTGTGATGTATTAATGGAAGATTTCCAGATTAGTAAAACACTGTAGGGCGTCTCTCCACACCACTCTAGAGGGAAAAGGTTGCAAAAGGCCAAAAATAAAATAAAAAAAAAAAATCACAACCTAAAATCACAATTCCAAGAATGCAATCCTCGACTATCCCACCAGAAACTCTACACTGCATCAATTTTATTCCGCCCATCCAAAGCTTATGATCGCCTTATCGCCACCCCATTAGGGAGAATAAAACGAAGGGAGGCGACATATATGTACCACCGTGCAGGCACACACACATGCGTGCACGGGAAGCGGTATATATATGCCTGGACATCTCCATCATGCTGTGCGTGCCTGTGCATGGAAGGCGACTCCGCAGCGGCCGCGGGGACGCTTCCCTTGGGCAGCCCCTGCGCCCTTGACATGACAGCAGCGATCTGTCTCCTCTCCTCCTCGCTCAGCTGGCTCAGGTCCGCCTCCATGCCGGCTGGGATCCCGGGGTGCAGGGCGCTCCCCGAGCCGCCAGCCCCGCCTGCGGCCGCCGCCAGCCCTTCGGGGAGCCCTTCCCCTTCCAAGCTCGCCTCGTTGCCCATGGCTCGGCGGGACACGTCCCGGTGCAGAAGCCCGCGGCCGCCGGAGCCCCGCCAGCCGGGGTCC